AATTAGACGTCATTGATGAAGCTTCGTGGTGGAGACAGAAGTTAGTTAACTGGGTGAAGAGAGATGACAGTTAGGCGTAATTTTTAGGAGTTTTATGTGATTTATCATAGGCGTTACTTGCATTTCATCAAATTCGCACTTCAATCTGATAATTATCGTTATCCTTTTCAAGATTTATTTAGTTTTTGGATTGCGTTGTTCGATTTTCACTCTTCTAATTGAAGAACAAAATACCCTAGTTTATGCTACTTCGTGAATCAAAAAATGGTTTTAATTACAAATTCGAATCAAGAATCGACATCTTCTGTTCTTACATATGAAAGAAGAAAGTAAGTTTTTGTTTACGAATTTTAATTATATATTACGATTTTTCTGATCTGATTTTCAATATTTTTCGGCGATTTTAGGGTTCAAAGTTCGGCGATTTGAGGACTGGAATTTTCAGCGGATTTAAGGTTCGAATTTCAGCAATTTTAATGTTCGAATTTTAGTGATTTTAGTGTTCATATTTCAGCGATATTAGGTAATTTTAGCGCTACTCTTAGATTTTTTTTTTTTGATTTTTTTTTACGTCTTTTTACCATTTTTTTGTGCGATTTATGTGCGGTTTTATTGAAAAATTTTGTTGTGATTAATTTAGTTGGTGTGATTATTTTTGTTGTTGATAGTTGAATTGTATGATAAATAATGTATGCTGGAGAACATTTTCTTGATTAGTGAGTGTTTCTTGAATGATTAATTGCACATACTGCTGGTTTTGGATGGATAATGTGGGTATTATTGATTGTTGCCTCTAGAAAAAAATTCTTGATTATTGTATATGTGATTTCATAACATGTTGCTTGTGTTGATATTTTCAATTGCTAGTTGGTGTATATATTAGTGGAGAATTTCTATAAACGAGTAATCCATTCAATTCGTTGACAATATATATATATGTTGACAATATCTTCTTTAAGCTGTTAGTTCCATCTTTTGACAAATTATTAAATTTATTTGTAATGTTTGTCTTTATTATATATTTGTGTATGGAGTATTATTTTTGTAAATATTTTCATTTGGTCCATAATATAAATTAAGAACCCCTATCATGATTCTTTCTCTTCCATCTCCCATTTCGATCATAGTTTAATGTGACACAACTGGAGTTTTTGTTGTGGGTTGGCACTTATAAGTGCACCAAAAAAAAGTATTAGTCCTGTTCTGATCTGTGTTTGCTGGGTTGAGGGAGTTTAGTGTGATGTTTGTGATTAAATAATAAGTTTTTGTGTTTATGGTTGTATAGTAGCTCAAGCTGTGGGGTTGGTGGAAATGGTTTGGTGGTTGGGGTAGGAAAGTAAAGGTGGTTTGTTGGTGTTTTTTGTGCCTGCTACAGTTTCGGATGAAAATATCCTTACAGTTAGTTGGTTATCCTCTCCCACCACTCGAAAGTAACAACATAACATGCACTTTTCTTAGAACTAGACAATTTCCTACTCTTGGTATGGTATTGGTATATTTTTAGTTCAAGTACAAAGCTTAATTTTCCCTCCAAATGATCGAATGACAGCCGTTTTGACATTATATTATTAAGACTGTATAACTTATTGCAGTAATATAGCCATGATATATTTCATAACTTGGGAAATATGAAGTTAGTGAGTCTAGTAGAATAAGAACTGTTGTCATGACTATTTCAAAGTGCAAAGAAAAATAATCATTGTGGAGCAACCATCATTGTAAGAGTGAGAGCGTGAGATAAATGACAAGGGTAGCAAAATATTGAAGATAGAGGTAGATCTGATCTGGTGCTTTATTTGATCTAGTGATAGTGTCCATAAAGCCCCCATCAAGTAGCTCTAATAGACCTACAGGCAGTACTACAGTGAAAGAGAATAGGATCTTTAGAGTTAGGAAAGCAAGCAATTAATTAGGTAAGCAGGGGATGGTAAGTCTACGAGCCATGAGTGACAAATCTTAGCGTTTTTGTCCCTTAGTTCCCACCCCTTTGGCCCTTTCCATTCCCAATCCTCAAATTGCATATATCAGCTAGTGCATGGTACCTTTTACTTTGTTTAGCCCCACAAAGACTGGAGAAAGAATTTCCTAAACATGCTTATTTGCTTGCTGTTGCTCTATGTATGTTCTTCCTGTATAAGTAGAGCACTTTGGAGGAAGCCACTTACAAATGTGAATCTGCCCTAATTGATTATTGTATATATGATTTCAGAACATGTTACTTTCTAGTTGATCCTTTCAAGTGTTATAATTTGAAGTGCAATCAACTATTGATAATAAGTATTATAATTTCACAAAGGACTTTTCATCGGTGACATTCAATGGGAGATAACTAAAACTTCACAACAAAAATTAGCTAACTTTAACAGGTATATGTCAAGTATTCCCAAATAAACCCCCAAAAAAAATTAGGGTTCATAAATCGAAAAACCATACCAACAACCACCCTCAAGCAAGCAATCAGCCACATGCAACATTCGAACAAATCAACAAATCTAAATCCAAAGATTCGAGCAATTAGCCACATGCAAGGTTCAAACTAAAACTAAATACAAAACAAAATCAACCTACCTCAGATAGAGATTCGAGCAAAGCAAAACGAAACGGCGAGGAAGGAGAACGAAGCAATGGTGGCGGCGAGGGAGGAGAACGAAGCAACGAGCAACAGCGAGGGAGGAGTACGAAGGAACGAGCAGCAGCGAGGGAGGCGAACGAAGGAAGACTTCTAAGAAGTTTGGGAATTGGGATTTCAATTTCATTTTTGGCTCTAATATTTCAGCATTCCCGGTTTTTTTTTTTTACTCATCCGTTGTATTAGGTATTATTATTTTTTTTTTCTTTTTTTAGTAATTAGGGTTGATCCGTTGGATTAGCTCCAACTGAAAAATAAAAAAAAAAATTGGGAACACTATCCGTTGTGTTAGAAGAATAATTCGTTGGATTAGCTCATCTAATACAACGGATTAGTTTATCTAATACAACGGTTAGTATAAACCGTTGTATTAGCCCTGTTTTAGTGTAATACAACGGATTAGCCTTGTCTAATACAACGGTATAAAATTATCCGTTGTATTAGCTATTTTTGTACCGTTGCATTAGATAAAAAATGTAGTAGTGATTTAAATTGTCTTATTGCAATCCAGGTCAGTCCAAGAAGAGGTGCTAAAATCTAGATTAACAAAAATGCTTTTGTTGGTAGAATTGATCATTGTGCTCTCCTCTTTTATCTGACAGAATAGCAAACTCTATTAGTCTCCAATCAAAAGATTATTGTCAGGTAATAAGATAAAGAAAGAAAAAAGGAGCAATACTTCCTTTTTCTCATATATTTTCTGTTTGGAGATCGTTATTGTCAGAGGTGGAACAAACAAATCTTTGCTCATTTATCAGACGAGCAAACAAATCTTTGCTCATTTATCAAATGAGCAACAATTCTTTGTTCTTTTTATCAAATGAGCAAACAATTCTTTGTTGATTTATCAAATGAGTTGATTAAAAATTTATAACATAGAAAATGATTTAAAACATATGATAAACCTATTAGCTCGAATGGTAGAGAACTATGCAAATGCATAGGGGATGTAGGTTCAATTCCTACATAGGTTATCTCTATAAACAAAATTAATTAAAAAAAAAAAAATCAAATTTGTACTAAATTATATGAGCAAAAAAATGGTTTGAAATGATCTATAACTATATAAACTTTGTTACAATTAAACTCTCATACAAACTTGTGTCCCTAAATTACATAAATGAACCTACGTGGGATTCGAACCCACATCTTTTGTGCATTTGCACAATCCTCTACCCTTGAGCTAGTTTACTAACGTATTTAAAACATTCAAACACACTAACAAATGAGCATTAATTTGACAAAATGAGCAAGAATCATTTGCTCATTTGACAAATGAGCATTAAATAGTTTGCTCATTTGACAAAGGAGCATTGAATTTTTTTGCTCATCATTTGACAAATGAACAAAAATTAATTGCTTATTTGACAAATGAGCAAAAAATAAATGGTCATTTGACAAATGAGAAAAAAATTAATTGCTCATTTTGACAAATTAGTAAAAAATAAATATTAATTTTTGACAAAATGAGCCTGAATTATCTGATCATTTGACAAATGAGCATTAAATAGTTTGCTCATTTGATAAATGAGCAAAGAATTGTTTTGCAATTTTATAACCTGTAATTTTTTGTAAATATCCATGAAGAAAGATCAACTTTTAGCAAATGAGCAAATAGTTAGTTGCTCATTGGTCAAATGAGCAAATACATAGTTGCTAATTTAACAAATGAGCGAAAACTTAGTTGCTCATTTATCAAATAAGCAATTAATTTCTTTGCTCATTTGTGAAATGAGTAACCATTTGTTTGCTCATTTGCCAAAGCAAATAATTTTTTTTTTAAGGAAATAAGCAAATAATTAGTTACTCATTTAATTTCTTTGATCATTTAATTTGGGAATTGGGCAATCAATTTTTTGCTCATTTAGCAAATGAGCAAATAGTTAGTTGCTCATTTGTCAAATGAGCAAACATTTCTTTAATCATTCATTAAATCAACAAGCATTTCTTTTCTTATTTGTGAAATGAGCAAATAATTAGTTACTCATTTGTAAAATAAGCAAACATTTCTTTGATTATTTGGGAAATGAGCAATCAATTTTTTGCTCATTTAGCAAATGATCAAATAGTTAGTTGCTCATTTATAACAGATATATGTCCTTTCCAATGGTAACATATGTAATCTACATACATCACAAGGAGACAAATTAATGAAGCACATAAGATCAATGAGAAAGTTTATATTTGATAATAGTTAGAAGTCTGGTCTGAGACTCTAAGATCCTTCTTCAGACTATAGCATAACAAAAGGACTCTCCAAAGTCTAAGCCTCACAGGCATATAATAGTACTTCCTAAAATGTTTGTGTCCAAAATCTATATACCTGTATATGAAAAGTACCAAGTGCTAGTACTGCTCGATTTAATAATGATTAAATGATAACACATAATCATCAATATATATCATTGCGAAATGAATCAAATGTACAGAACTATATGACTATTGCCTGGAGTATCTAGGGCATTAAGTTATAATGTACTTATCAATTACATCAAGACTCGGGAACATGGGAAGCCTAGACATTTCCTTGCAAAACAATTAATTAACAAACATTCAGTTCTTCTCCAAACAAAAATGAGACATTCGATCACGCAGAGATAATCAGATAACTTTTGATATAATCAATTTGAAAGATCGGATATATGTAAAATACGAAAACGAAGAACGAATCATGAGAGGCCAAATAATTATGGCAGAGGCTCAAACCCATTTTCAAAAATGGAACACTGATCAGACATATTATCCACGCTATGCAGCCATGTAGTGTTCTTCAGATCCTCTTTTAGTAGGATTGCATCATATCGGGTGCTCTCGTACATGTCTGCTTCAGTCAATCTCCCAAACAACCTGCCATTTTCTTTTTTCTTCTCGTTCTCAAGCAACCCATTAGCATGTGTACCATTCTCTAGAATAGATCCATTACTGCTAAGTGATTGACTTCCATTATTGTTGACACATGTTGAACTGCTAGACCCGTGACCGGTTTGGATTTTGGATGGAGCAGACCGGATGCTTTGAGGGAGCAAGGAGGTACTTGGAACTGGGTGCATGCTCCCTGAACCATTTCTAATATCCTACATAAGCATTACAAAGCAAAGCAAGGAGTTATTGAAAGCCAATTGTACACAGATATTCCATTTTCCGAGTGGGAATTCCAGCTAGTACACAAAGCATGTCAGAGAGTGAAAGACAGAAAGCACACATATAAGGGGACTAATTCTTTCCAACAATAAAGATGAAATCAATTGTCATTTGTTGTAGACAGTCCACCATATTAAAGAGAACAAAGTGAGAGCATAATATACGATTGAGACATAAATTTAAGCGAGATATAAACATATCAGAGGTAATATGAAGACTGTAAGGCACAAGTTACTGATTACAAGTACAAAAACCGGTCACACAATGATTAAGCTGGGAGTACAACGTCCTTTACAGATGGGAAAAAAAAAAAAATCAATCCAAGCCATATTTACCAAAACCAGAAAAGATTTAATCAAAACTCAAAAGTGTGAAGGTACCTACCTAAAGGAGCCCCCATTTCTACCGCTCTCAAATATTTCCAGATTCTCCAATGCGACAACATCTAACACCATATACGGTTTCTTAAAAACATTACAGTAATCAGAGCATGGAAGTGACTCTATATAACACATAATGTTCAGCAAAATATCATCGAAAAATCGATCGCCACACAAAATTCGGAAAATAAACAAAACTCAAAAAATTTGAACACACACAAAGAATATATTGAAATGTCATCCAATTGGAACAATCAAAACCGTAATTCAGCATGAAAAAGTATAAAAATGATAAAAAAATTAAGCCGAAAAAGCATACAAAATATTGAAAAACAGAGCAAAATTGAACAACATTATGAAAAAAAAATTCGAATAATACAGGAATTAAGTGATTAAATTGCAAAACTTACAACAATTTGATGATGAATAATTGAATATCGCCGATTTAATCTTCATCTAAGTGAAGCCCTTGAGTCGAAATTTCAGAGAGAGAATGTGAGGGATTTGAACAATAAAAGAAATTTGAACTGTGTGATACAGATCGAAATCTTTTTCTTCTATCGTTTCCTTGTCCAAACAACATTTTAACTCATTAAAGTAACGCAAGCCAAAATTTCCTAAAAGTACCACATCAAGATTTGTTCTTATGCTGCAAAAGAAGAAGAAACAAACCTCATCCAAAAACACCGAATTCTCATCCGCGAAATCTCATCGTTCTCGTACATTTAATCTATGACATCACAACAAACCTCGATGCTCACCATCTCACCAACCCTAGCCACCTCTTTAAGCTTCATCATCAATTCTTCAATCACCAAAAACACCGAATTCTTCATGATTCCGACCTCAAAACTCAAGGATTGCAAAAACAGGATTTCGGCGTCTAAGAAATCGGTTTTTGTGAAATGCTGATCTTTGATACGTTGATCGCCGATTGATTTTAGGGTTTTGAGAGAAAGAGGGGGAGAATCGTAGGTTTTGCTGGAAATCCAAAAGGAGATGAGAGAGAATAGCTGCAATTGAGGGAAATTCATGGGTTTCTTCAACAATGATGATGAAGGAGGAGAGAGAAAATAACTTGCAAAACGAAGGAGGAGAGAGAAAACACTGATTTTTTTTTTGAAATTATGTTTGACCGGGATAAATGGTAACCATTGGATGCAATTGATCCAACGGTTGTAATATGTCCTCACATATATCAGGTTCTAACATATATATACATGGTAATATATCATATATAGAATATGATATCAAATTAATGCAATAATGCCATAAATAAAGAATCATGAGTTTTGATTTTATTTTGCAATAAATGAATAATAACAACTAACCTAATGTGAACATATAGGCATTATGCTATGCAATTTGATTTATTTCCTTGTTTTTTTTTTTTTTGTTTTTTTTTTTTTGGTTTATCAAATTGCATAGCATAATGCATGTATGTTCACATTACGTTTGTTAAATCACCACAGTTTATGAGGTGGTAAAGAGTTTACCACCACATTAAAAGTGATGATCTCAGCAAACCACAATATTAAGTCATATTAGCATCAATAATTACGTGTCATTAATTATGTACTAACGGCTAGTAACAGTGTAAGAGCACTAAAAACGTGCTATGAAGAGAGGAAAAAAGGATAAAAGAGTGATGGATCTTGTTTCTTTGAATTAATTTTATATTAATTGGGGGTAAGAAAAGTAGAGAAGGAATAGGAATTTGAGGGATCTAGTATCTCCTATAATAAATAATCAAACCGTTTCAAAAAAGGTGGATAGATTTAAATTGAAAACACAAGTTTACTACTATATGAATCCATACCTTAAATTCTTTTTCCTTCCCTTCCCCTCCTCTTAAGTATCATCGTTATCCAAATAAATTGTAATAGTACGTTTGAATTATCAAAAAATTTATTTTCCTTTATCAAACATGGCCATAGAAGGGAAGAAAAATAAAGGGGTCAAATTTTCCATCTTTCAAATAAACTAATTCATTCCACAAATTAATTGATCGAAAAAAAAAATGAAAAACCACAATTCTGGCTTTTAATTCCTTACCACCAATTTATTTATATGTGATATGTGTCTTCCCAACCTTTCCTTCTCCAAGACTGCATGCAAATCAAATTTCATAAGAACTGATTAGGGGATTTTTATCCACCAATCACCGTCTGACAAGTGGACCAACCAGGTTCCGCCACGTGTCCTTCACGAAGGCCAATAGGAGCCTGCCACGTGTCAATCACAGATACGTCCTCTACGGACCAATCGAGGCACGCCACGTGTCCACCCATGCCAAATGGGAAAACCGGCCAACAAGGCCCAATCCTGTCTAGAGGCCCGGTCAGCCCTAGGTTTACCCTAAACCTAGAGAGTGGCACGCTTCTCAAGACTATAAATACTTAATTAATCCTCATTAAAGGGGATCAAGAAAACATCAAGCAATCAAGCAATTGAGAGGCAATTGATCAAGCAATTAATCTCACCTGAAGAACAGAGAAGAACAGAAACATTACGGAACACTAATAACCGGCTAATCTCGCTAACAAAGCAGATTACCAACATTAAACACTCTCACCTAGAGAGGTCTTATTACTTTAATTTCCGTATTAATTACTCCTTAATCAGGTATTAACTTGACCGTTGGAGGCGGAGCTCTCAGGAGTCTCCGTTATTTTGCAGGTACAGGCGTCCGGTTCCAGTCTCGGAATTGTAACTCTCCCGCAGGACATCAGAAAACCCCGAAACATTTGGCGCCGTCTGTGGGGAGAGTACTTCATAGATGGCATCCAAGTCTGTACCGACTCCTGAAGAGAGGCGTCCCCTAAACGACCCTCAAGTTCAGTCGGACCATGACACCGAAAGTGAATTTGAAGTGGAAACTCATACAGCTCCAGACGGGACCCTAAGGGCCCGACGTACCCGTCATACCGAAAGGAGGGAACGGGAGCATCTTCAAACAGGAAGCGAGCCAGCAGGCGCACCGCCTGCTCGGCAACAGCCGACTGATGGGTCTGCTCCCATCACAAGGAACGAACTCATGACCTTCATGAGGGACTTCAAGGGAGAGATTCAAGAGTTGATCAACAAAAAGCCGCCTGCTTCAGTCAAAGAGCAGTCGGCCAAAAAACCTTCCACTTCACTGAAGAGGAAGCCAGTTCAAGGGCGAGAGGCGACTCCTCATCCTAAATCCAAGAAGCGGGAGCCACCTGCTCTTGATTTCACAAAATTCCGTTATCCTACGGGAAATAGGAAACCGGTTCGTCATATTCAGGCGGACGGGTCAAAGCAAACGTTCACAGATGCTCGGCTACTGCTAGAGCAGAAGAAGAGTGACCGATTGTCAGAGTCGGCTTCTACTTCAAATTTTCAAGACAGTTTGCGAAATGCCTCGATGAGGCATACTCAGTCGTACCATGAGAGTCAGTCAGGCGGCACCTCCCGTCAGTCCGGCTTTCATAGTGCCCAGGCGGTACCAAACTTACCATTTGTGCCGCAACAACAGTATTTTATGCAGCCACCTCCATTTGGTGGATCTGCAGCAAAAAACGTCCAACCTATGGACTGGCAGCTACGGTTGCTTAGACTTGGTGAACAGCCGTCGGCCTTCTCCAAGGAAATTACTGAAGCCGCTCAGCCGGCCAAAGTAAAAAATGTACTAGTAGGCGCCTATGACGGCACTACTAACCCAGAAGACCATCTGATGGCATTCACCAACCTGATGTACCTTCAAGGGTTGGATGATCCCACTTGGTGCAAGTGTTTCCCAGCGACTCTCAAGGGAATCGCACAGCAATGGTTCGGCAACCTGCCGACTGGTTGTGTAAACAGCTTCAGGACGCTTGCTTACTTATTTTCCTCCAACTTCGCCATGAACATCCCTGCGAAGAAAACGACCCTTGATTTGGGAACAATTCAGCAGGGCGAGAAGGAGGGGCTTCGTTCTTACATCAGGCGGTTCAACCTGATGAGAATACAGATTCAAGGGTTACCGGATGAGGTAGCTTATACTGACTTTTTTAGAGGTCTCAAAGACGGGTCTACCTTCAAATTTGATTTAGTTCGAAAAAGGGTGGCGACTCTTCAAGAGGCCTTGATTGAAGCAGAAGCCTATATACAGGCGACTGATCTGTGTACGATAAAACAGTCGGACGGGAAAAGGTTCGACAAAAGAGAAGGACGACAGAAACAGTCGTCTAACAAAGATGAGAAAAGAAAAGAGGTCTGGGCGGTTGATTCCTCTAAACAGCCGGCCCAGAAAAAGAAAAAAGAATTCAAACCATACTCCCCAAAGTATGTGTTTAACAAGGATAACCAGTTTATCCTAAAAGAAATAAAGGGACGGTTCTCAAATGAGAAGCCGGTCCCCATGAAGGGTTCTGCAAACAACCGGAACCAAGACAAAATCTGTGCTTATCATGATGACGTTGGTCATCACACCAATGACTGCATCAGTCTCATGCGGTACCTAGACCGCTTGGCTGAGCAAGGTGATCTTGATACTTATGTCAAGAAATCTACGGGGAACACTTCCTCAAAAAAGCAGTCGGCCAAAAAGAATCAACAGGCCGACAGTTCCGATACAGATGATGCAGTCGTCTACACCATTGCAGGCGGCTTCTCAGGAGGCGGCCCCACTATTAGGGGCAACAAAGATAATATAAGGCGGTTAGATGTAAATTCCGTTCACCAAGAACGGCCGTCCAAATATACATTTCCTGAGATTATCATCACTGAAGAGGATCTAGGAGGGGTAAGGGGGCCGCATGACGACCCTCTCGTTATTGAATGTAAAGTGGCCAACCAGAGAGTTGGCCGAATCCTCATAGATACCGGGAGCTCCTCAGATCTCATCAGCAGCAAATGTCTGTCAAAACTGAAATATCAGACGGACTGCATACATCCGGCCTCCCACCCTTTAATAGGGTTTGGAGGAGGAGTCGTCCACCCACTGGGACGAGTAGATTTACCCATTCGCCTGGGCGAAAAAGGGGAAGGACGACACATGGTAGTCCGGTTCCTAGTAGTAGAGGAACTCTCGGCCTACAACATGATTCTGGGTCGACCAACCCTGAATAATTCCAAGGCTGTTATAATCCCGTCTCTTATGCTGCTTAAGTTTGAGAGGGATAATGGAACAGTCGGCTCCCTAAGGGGAGATCAGAGGATGGCCCGAGAGTGCTATCTCTCGGATGTCAAGCCCACTGTTATGGCCGCTGGGTCAAGTGGAGAAAAAACAGACCTTGACAATGTCAAGGAGAGTGCGCCTGTTCAAGAAACAGGCGACAAAAAGAGAAAGGCGTCCCAGACAGAGTCCGCAAGAAAAGCAAGAAAATAGCAATCATTGGCAGAGGAGCGCCCGGATGAGTTCCGCCTTCAGCCGGCTGGTGAGCATGCGGACCTGATCTTAGACGACTCACGTCCTGACCGAACAGTCAAAGTTGGGACGACTGCTCTGAGAAACCTTGGTGACGACTTTCACAACCTATTGAGAGAATACAAGGACATCTTTGCATTTGAAGTCCATGAAATGCCAGGCATTAGTCCTGATCTGGCAGTACATAAACTCGCTGTGGATCCGAAAAAGAAGCCGGTACGGCAAAAGAAGCGGAACCATGGCGAAGAAAGAAGTCAGGCGGCAGCCGCCGAAGTTAAAAAATTACTTGATGCAGGGTTCATTCGGCAATGTTACTTCCCAGACTGGGTTGCAAATGTGGTGCTTGTTAAAAAGCCGAATGGCACCTGGCGAATGTGTGTAGACTACACAGACTTAAACAAGGCGTGCCCCAAAGACAGTTACCCTCTGCCTAAAATTGATAACCTGGTCGACTCAACAGCGGGTCATGCCTTGATGAGTTTTATGGACGCCTATTCTGGTTTCCATCAAATTCCCTTATGGAAGAAAGATCAGGAGAAGACGGCCTTCGTCACTGATCAGGGGTTATACTGTTACACGGTCATGCCGTTTGGTCTTAAGAATGCCCCGGCTACCTTCCAACGAATGATAAACACAGTGTTCTTTGATCAGATTGGGAGAAACGTCGAGGCATATATTGATGATATGATTGTCAAGACTAAACTTCAGAAAGAT